TTGGTTTCTAAAATCTAAAAAATTGTTGATTTTCTCCTTTTTTTAATTTATTTATCTCCAACTACAAAACAACCTATAAAAAATTAGTTAAAAATTTGTATTTGTAATCATATAAGAAAAATGGTATGTGTATTAATAATTATTTTTAATTGAAATCTACATATTCTTGAGTTTATTTTACCTTTTTCATCACCAAGAAAGAAAAAACTTTTGCATTTTGCTTCTTCTTTATTTTTACAGGAAAAAAAATTCGAAAAAGGTAAATAAGAAACGCCAAAAACAGAAGGGGCCACAAATCGTACCGCAAAATATCTTCTCCAGCTAAGCAACACTACCACAAGCCTACCACGCGCCTATATCCCATCTCTCAATCTTCTCCGTACACGTGTCATCCATCCACAGCCTCATCATCCACATAACCTCGCTTTATATTCCTCCTTCCGCCACCACTCTCCTCCTCACACACACAAAAGCCCTTTTCTCTTCCAATTTCGTCGCACAAAGATAAAATCTGGAAAAATGCTTCTCAAGGCTGCTTCAACTTTCTCGCTCTTGAACATTCATGGAGAGAAGACTCCTTTGTTCTCTTCCTTTTCGTCTGATTTCTCCTTGAACCTTCCTGTTTCCTCGGGAAAATCTGGGAATCTCTCGTTCGCTGTTCGTGCTTCCAAGGCTACGACTACAACCACCGTAAGCGGAGTCGTGTTCGAGCCGTTTGAAGAAGTGAAGAAGGAACTCGATCTCGTTCCTTCGGGTCCGCAGATTTCGCTTGCTCGACATTTGTACTCTCCTGAGTGCGAAGCTGCCGTAAATGAGCAGATCAAGTGAGTTTTTCGTGTTTGATTGAATCATTTTGGTGTTTGTGAATATGTCGATCGATTGAGGAATTTTTCGCTTGAATTCTTATGTGGAGATTGGATTGTTAGGTATTTCATGAATCTGAATTTTTCGTTGATGGTTTCTTTGATGCAGTGTGGAATACAACGTTTCTTATGTGTATCACGCTTTGTATGCTTATTTTGACCGTGACGATGTTGCTCTCAAGGGCCTTGCTAAGTGAGTTGTTTCTGGAAACGTTGGAGTTTATTCAATCCCTTGCTAATATATATTCGTTCTGAGTGTAGATTAATCCGTTGTTTTGGTGTGTCTTGGTGTTAGGTTTTTCAAGGAATCGAGTGTTGAAGAACGAGATCACGCCGAGAAGTTTATGGAGTATCAGGTCCTTGGTCAATGATTTCTCTAACACTAATCGTTTGAGCTAAGTTCTCTAACACCAATTCATTTTGGTTTCTGTGATTTACAGAACAAACGTGGAGGGAGAGTCAAGTTACAGCCCATGGTGATGCCTCAGTCCGAGTTTGATCACCTTGAGAAAGGAGATGCTCTGTACGGTAAGCTTCATTCCCATTTCAGAGATTGTAGGCAATAAATCGAAGTTAAAAGTATCAGTAGTTTCTTAAGATATGACATTGATATTAGGTTTATATGAAAATCCTTGTAGAGGTGGTTGGTTTTCATGAGCATTTTTCAACATAGTGATGAGTTTTATGGAATATATGCACATATAATTCCTCCAAATTCTAAGTTTGGAATGCAATAATTTCATGTTCTTTGTTGTTGTAGCTATGGAGTTGGCTCTGTCTTTGGAGAAACTAGTCAATGAAAAGCTCCTGAACGTGCACAGTGTAAGACTATCTCTCCTTAGAATCCAACTCTTGTTTATGGCATTCAAGTCACTTGATACAACTTGCTTTTGAATAATATGGTCAACAGGTAGCTTCGAAGAACGATGATGTCCAGTTGGCTGATTTCGTTGAGAGCGAGTTTCTGAACGAACAGGTAAACAAAAAAAAAATCACGTTCTATGTTAGTGGCAAAGATATGGGGTTCTTGATGATTTAAAGCCTGTCAAATTGGAATCTAATGAAGATAAAATAACATCACTTTCGCAGGTGGAAGCAATTAAGAAAATCTCAGAATATGTTTCTCAGCTTAGAAGAGTCGGCAAAGGACATGGTAAATCATTTGTTTTCTCAAATTTAAAATAGTTTAAAACACATACCTTAATTCGTCCACTTCGTGCCTCACACTTAGTTTATTGTTATTGTTCAGGAACATGGCATTTCGATCAGGAGCTTCTCGAAGCTGCTGCTGCTTAATTGGCTTGTAATCTCGGCAGTTTGGTTAACTTTTGAGCTATTTTGAGTATGAGTTGTAACTTGTGAGGTAGACTTTTTAAAAAAGATGGTGAGGAAAAAACAAAGCTATTATGTCATTTGGATCAACTTCCTTTTTGGTTACAGTATCATTGGTTTTGTCCATTTCATCAAATCGTTTGCAAGAAATCTATTGGTAGACTCATTACTACACATTTCAGATAAGTACGTTTTCGTTGTGTGGCATATTGTTGAACAATGTGGTACAGAAAAAATATGTAGCCCATACTGTCAACTTTTTTGAAGTAACATGGGGTAGAGATTGATCAGAGATTTTATCATTCTGATCAATCTCTCAATTACAAGTATATTTTTGCTGCTTCTATAACAAATAAATGTATGGTGGGAACATAAAAATCTTTAACAAGTTTGATATCTTTACTGTTGCTAATTTATATATTTCGCTACTGGAAAAACATAAATTTTGTTTTGGTTATCTCATCCTCGGATATGGGCCTTATGGCCCAATGTTTTAGTTGATTTTTGTCTCACCCGCGAAAATATAGCGCGTAAAGCCCACGCGGCGGAGAATTTACAGGAGTTCGAGCCAAAGCCCTAAAGTTTGGTCGGAGGTGGTGGCGAATTTGGCAATGTCGTTCACACCTATGGCTTCCGCCGCCGCGAACGGGCCAGAGACTCCGTCTAAGAAGAAGAAGAAGCCGTCGATAGAACCAACCTCGATTCCGTTTCTTCCAGAGGAATTGATAGTGAGCTGCTTAGCTCGCGTCTCGAGATTGTACTACCCTACTCTCTCTTTAGTCTCCAAGCAGTTTCGCTCACTACTTGCTTCACCGGAGATTTACCAGATCCGATTCCTCATAGGTCGCACGGAGAGTTGTCTCTATGTTTGTTTACGATTCGAACCTGATTATAACCTTCGCTGGTTCACTCTCTACCGGAAACCTGATCAAACCCTAACCAGTCACACCAGTAAGAAGGAGAAGGAGAAGGAGAAGTCAAGTGGCTATCTTTTGGTTCCAATATACGATAAGTCAAAGGAATTGACAGGGGATGTGGTGGAATTGGACACGATCTTAAGTCTGTCTTTTACTTGTACCATAGAGAACATAACCTACTATTGTAATTGCAATGGGGAGTTTGTATGGTCTGATCATATCGGAGCAGATTGGAGAAAACTAGAGGGTTTAGAAGGTTTACCAAAGATTTTCGGTGATAGTATTGTTAAATTGGCGGAATATGGTGGAAACATGGTGATTTTGTGGGACAAGTATGTGCCTTCAAGTGGGTGTAAGGAGAATGTGATTTGGTGCGCACAGATTGCCCTTGAAAGGCGTAATCCTAAAGAGATTTGGGGGAAGGTCGAGTGGTTAGATGAGGTGCTTACAGTTCCTGGGTCTTACGAATTCGTGTGTGCTACTGCTGCTACCGTTTGATGATATGATAACGAAACTCTATTGTTTTTTTGCGGGATGGGATAGGTTTCGCATATGAACGTCTGCTCCGCTCAATTCGCTTGTTTATGATTTAAGCTTATTTTGTGATTTGTGTCTCTTTGAGTAAACCTTTTGATCCCAAAACCATGATCTGCTACTGTTTGATGAATGACTTCATGAGACAAGGGGGTAATGTCGTTTTTCTTGTGTTGCAAAATGTCGTATTTATATGCTACTTATGATGAATGCTTCTCTTGTGTTTTTAGCTGGCATTGTTTCACTTCTAAACAAATGCAAATCACTACTAAACTTGCAGACCGATTTAGCATACTTTTGTCTATGAAAATACATTCACAAGGAAAACAAAAACAAGATACTCAAAGTCATATAATGTATGTTTCTCATTTGGGGGAATGATCAAGTTAGAGAGAGATTACCACTGAAACTTTTTCATGGTCATGTTTAGCATTCCCAAATGAGACCATAGTTGGAGTAGAGTGGGAGGCCATGGAATGTGATTAGGAGTCTAGTTCACATATTAAACTAAGTGGACAATCGAACATC